TCCTATTCATTTTTTAATTCGTAGAGGTCCAAGAGCACCGATGATGCGGGAATGCATTCCTATTCTTTTTAATTGAATTGAGCCCCAATCATTCTTTTAATCTGGCGCCCTCCATTTCTTATTCTGGCGGGGGGGGGGGCGGCCCCCCCCCAAATTAAACAAGTGCTCGGATTAAACCCTAAACCCAACTTACAAGTGCCCTGTGGAAAGCAACCCACAAGTCTGGAAAACGCCCAGCTTCAAACACAACACCTCACCCACAAGGGCCGCCACGAGCCCTGGAACCCTGAACAATACCAAACCCGCCCAAACCCGGAACCCGAAACCCAGAAGTCGAAACCCAGAGCCCGAAACCCAGAACCCGAAACCCAGAGCCCGAAACCCAGAACCCGAAACTCCAAACCCTAAACCCTTTAAACAAACAAAATGTGTGTGTATATATATATGTATATATCGGTAATGCCGGCCTGTCGTCATCCATCTTGCCGCCCTCGTCGTCATCGTCGTCATCCTCATCGTCACCCAACTCGTGGATGTAGTCACCGCCCTGGCAGAACACTGGTTGTTTAGCTTTTAGGGGTTAGGGTTCAGGAATTAGGGTTTAGCTCAGCCTGAAACTGAATGTCAGAATAGGATTAAATGCTTTGAGCTCAGGGCTTCAGATTCGCTCCATCACTCCCTGCTAGGCCCCAGACGGCTCGACCAACCCTTAAAAAAATAAAGTGCAAATCATAAATCCTAAACCCTAAGCCCTAAACCCTAAAGCTCCAATCCTAAACCTAAAACCCTAGACCCCCCAAGTACCCTCTATAGACCCTAGGTATCCCCAAATAGAAGCTACATAGACCCTATTTTAAGGTACTTGGGGGGTCTAGGTAGACCCCAACAAAATAGCTGAGGGCTCAAAGCTCCAAGGGCTTCACGCACGGGTTTTGCGACACCAGCCTCTCTGCAACCCCTGGGGTTTAGGGTTTAGGGGGGAGTTTAAGGTTTGGGGTTGTGTGGCTCATACAATATTTCCCCTATTCCTTATATTACCCCCATATAGTCCCTAAAAGTGAGGCCGAGAGAGTGCCTTACTGGGGATTAGTAGGCGACTGCAAGGCTTGGGACCTGTTTAGGGTTTAGGGTGTAGGGTATATTGGGGTAATATTGGGGTAGTGGAAAATTAAATGGAAACTGCTATAATGGGGTTGTATAGGGTTTAAGGTTTTGGGGTTTAGGGTGTCTTGGGTTAGTAGGGGGATTCTAGTTGCCAAGCCGTACAAGGAATGGAGAATCAAACGGAACATGAAAAGGAAACTTGGCTTACATTATATAGGCATTACAATAAGTAATAAAGGAAGGTGGGTTTTACTTACCGCCAACCTCTAAAGAAAGGACCCTGTAACTATCCTATGACAGTAGTAGGGTCCTAGTTTCAGGGGTGAAGACTGGGGCGTGGATTGCGTGTGACGTGGCAGCCTCGCACTGCAAACCAAGTGAGCGCCTGGCATAGGCTACAAAGCGATCCTTAGTCTTACTGGTTCTTAGTAGGGAATAAAGAAATAAAATCCGTATAAACCCCTATATTCAGTATTCACTCATTCCCTACTAGTAGTAGGGACACCTGTGTTCCATCAATCATCCCCATGCTTCCCCAAGGTCTCCTGCAGGCTCCCCATGTTTCAAGGGAATTTGATGGCAGATCATACTCAAGTCTTCCCTGAACCCCAAACCCTAAACCCTAAGCCTAAACCCAAAGCAAAAACCCTATAATGTACGAGTTTCCATTTTTTCCATTATGCCACTATTCCAGGCAAATCTTGCAGTAACCAGAGTCCAAACTGTCACGGCTTGAGGGCTCTGATTCTGGGGGGTTAGGGCTTCTGAATCACAACTGTAATCTAGAAGGCTGGCTACAAAGAACTCTATTCAGGGCAGTAGGGTCATATAGGGTAATATAGGGTAATATAGGGTAATAGAAGTAATCTTGAGGGTACAGTGCAAGAGCAGTTTTGGGCACGGCCATGCTGAGGTCTGGAGTTCCGAAAACCCACCCCCCGTGCAAAACTTCTAGGATCCCCGCTGACCTGAAATCCCTACACTTACTGGTTCTTAGTAGGGGATAAGAGAATAGAATCCCAAGATAATCCTTGCATAATGTATTCCCCTGTTCCTTATGAAGAACCAGCAGGTAAACTCTACACCAAAAGCTCCCGAAAATTGCGGAAAGATGCAGGAACGACCCCGGGCGCGCCTCGTCCTCATCATCTTCGTCGAAGACGACGGCGACCTCAGCACAAGGGATCTCTTGAGGGGGTCTGCGGTCGGCTCAAGGTTTAGGGTTTGGGGTGAAGAGGTCAAGCTCCCTCGCCTAAACCCTAAACCCTGAACCCTAAACCCTAAATCCTAAACTTCTTGTTGGGCAAAGTGCAAGGCAGCAAACGGTGGGCTTCTGGACAAAAGCCAAGGAGTCTAGATTTTGGGCTTTCTGGCTTGGGTTTGAGAGTTTTGGGTAGAATCTTCTTGGTTTTGGCTCCCGGCATCAGGGTCTCTTGAACCCCGAGGGGACGGGATTGACACCCCAGACCGCTACCTAGAACCCAGACTCCCCACTGCTGGGATACCTTTCTAAACCAGCTTGCGCCTTGAAACGACAATCCCGAAAATCCCACGCCCTGAAATGTGCATGCCTTCATCAACCCCAAACCTTAAACCCTAAGCCCCAGAGGCACTAAGCCGTGAAAACCCTAATTACGCTCTAAACCCCAAAAGTTAACATCCCCAAAGCCTAAACCCAGCCGAGAAACACCAGCAGCGTCATCGAGACCCTCCTTTGTTCGCACGGTGTCGTCCTGTGGTCCCAAACGCTTTGGAGGGAGGCGTCATGGGCTTCCATGTTAGCTTAGGGGAAGCCGAAACACTAAACAACTAGACTTTTTATAGCCCCATATGAGGTCTAAGCTCCGAGTATCCCCCTTCATCACCGCTATAGTGGTCCCCTATATAATCCCCCTATATTTCCCCCTTTAAGGAGTTTAGACCCTCAACCCTAAATCCTCAACTCTAAACCCCCAACCCTAAACCCTATATAATCCCCCCTATATAATCCCCGCCATATACCCCTGCGTATACCAGAACAAACTTCCTTAAATGAGCTTTGTATGCCTTAGGAGCTCCTGTGTGTATCTTAATGGACATGAGGCCTTGGAGACCTATTTGCCCATTAGGGGCTCCTGGGATGCTAGCAAGGTTGTAGTTGTCAGACTTCGGGGATGGCGCTTAGGTGTCAAGGGCTTAGGGTTTAGGGGCTTGGGGTTTAGGCTTTAGGGGTTTTATGTTTGGGTTTGAAATTTAGGGTTTAGGGGTTTAGGGGTTTAGGGGTTTAGTTTAGGGGTCTAGGGTTTAAGGCTGCTTGTGTTTCTGCGAAGGCTGGTGTCGGGGCCGCCATAGGAGATTAAACACGGGAATAGCAAGGATTAACTATTCACTATTCCCGTCAAGAGCAGGCTATCTCTTCTGCCTCCTTCTAGTCAGCCCGCTTTTTAAGCAGCAGCTTATTCAAAGGAAGTGCCACCCTCCCTTAAGCACCAGTAAGAGAAGGCCTTGGGCACGGATGCATAGATTTTAGCGTTCTGGACTTCAAGGCTCGTGATTTGAAGAAGTGAGGTGTCCGGAATCCTATAAACACTCTGCTTGACCCGAATTCATACAACTCCTAGCGAATGCCTAAACCCAAAACTCTAATCCCTAAATCCCAAACCCCAAAACCTACAGCCTACATCCTTTCCTGAAAGCAAGGGCATTAGAACCTGTGCTGCCGCCTGCTCTTCGTCTTCAACATCTGCGCCGAAGTCGGTAATCTGCTTTGCAAGCCTGGGCATTTTTTTGGCAATACGTGGAAATTTCCCACAATGAGGGTGCCCAAACATAGATCCGAAAATGCTATAATCCTTGTTATGGGGATCCCCCAAAGGTACCCCAATTTTGGGAAACCCCACATGTAGAAAACAGGGCAGTACATGGGAGGCACCAAGAAGTATTATGGAAGATCAATACTGATCCAAAAATGCCACCTACAAAAGCAATACGGATTCTAGGGCACTACTTGGAGGTCCATTGTACTTATAACCTACTTAGTAACTGTAGTTATAACCCAATTATATCTAGGGTAACTGTAGTTATGGGACTTATATTTGGGTTATAACTATAGTTACTAAGTAGGTTATAAGTACCATGGACCTCCAAGTAGGGCACTAGGAATGAAAGCCAAGACTTAGAGGCTTTGGCTTAAAGCCCTACACCCCAGTCCTGTTTAGGGTTTAGGGTTTAGGGTTTAGGGTTTAGGGTGAACCCTGAAACCCGAAATCCTGTAGGTTCGAAGTGTCGGGGTTCAGGAGCTCTGGATACCAGTAGGGCCTAGGGCGGTCCCACCCCCCAAGGTTCCCCCTTCATGAAGCTTGCTTCGGGTTCATTCAAATCAATTAAGCGGAACCTTAGGGCAGAAAGTGGAGACAATAATATGAGCTCGCTCAATACTTCTTGTACTGTTAATGGATAGGGGTGCTCATTTAAGAACATAGGAGGGTTTAAGCTGAATTACCTAGAAGACCACTATGTCCACCCTGAATAATGCCTTGGCAATACTATAATCGGGAAAACCTGTTATTTACTATACATCCATATTCTGGTAACTTCATATAAGTTCCTTAACAGCAACACAGTAATTTTGGTATTGACGGTAGCTCACATTGTTTCTTTGGCAGCTTCTCTGCCGTAGAGAGAGGCGTTTGCAACTCCACCGCTTTGACCAAACTCTAAACTCTGCTATATACAGTTTAGGGTTTAGGGGCCTAGATATGAGCCGAGTTCCCAGACGAACCTCATGCCAAATAATTGCGAAAACAATTTTGAGGTCTATTTCAGGTATCCTAAAGCCCTCAACCCCGAACCCTATACCCTACAAAAAGCTCCGTTCCATAAGCCCTTTTAGGCCATATACCCTGCAGCCCTGAACACTAAACCCTACTGAACACTAAACCCTACACCTGAAGCCCTAAGCCCCCGATCCTAAAAAACCAAACCCTAGATCCTAAACCCTTTGTATGCCTATCTATCCATACATATCATCCGTATCTATCCGTATATGTCCCTATCTACCCCTATATGCCGCTATCTGCACACATGTATACATATATGTATATACCGTAGACCCTAAATCCCAATCTATACATATACATATATCTATATATAGATATACACATATATATATATATGTCCCTCTTATACCTTTAAGCGGCATGTGGTCTATAGTATAGACTAAACTCCACGCATCCCCCTTAATAACCCTTACATAATCCCCTACATAACCCCCTTTAAGGAGTTCAGACCCTAAACCCTAAACCCCAAACCCTTAACCATCTATACGTATAACCCTCCTTCAAAGAGTTTAAACTAGAATTCGCGTGGTCTGCCCTCTAAACCCTAAACCCTAAACCTCTAAACCCTAAACCCCCTAAAACCCGAAACCCCCTAAAAAACCCTAAACC